ATGGTACAATTTGCTCTTTCAGCAAGTCTATTTTGTTGTGGAGTGTAAAGAGTAGAGGTTTGTCTTGCAATACCTTGAATCTTCATGAAGTCATCAAAATGCTTTGACATGTATTCACCTCCATTGTCCGTTCTCAACACTTTGATCTTACACTCACATTGTTTCTCTACAAGAGCCTTAAACTCCTTAAACTTTGAGAAACATTCACTCTTAGCTTTCATGATGTAAATCCACACCTTTCTTGAGAAATCATCAATGAATGTAACAAAGTACCTTGCTCCTCCAATTGATGGTGTCTTCATTGGTCCACAAACGTCTGAGTGCACAATCTCTAACAATTTTGTTGCACGTGTTGCAACTCCACTTAGAAATGAAGTTCTTTGTTGTTTGCCTTGTATACATCCTTCACAAGCAAGTGTCATGGCATTGTGGCTGAATTGACCAAGATCCAAGCAACTTACCATGGATTGGAGCTCCTTCATGCATTTGGCATTCAAATGACGAAGTCGTTGATGCCAAATTCCAAACTTGTCTTGATCTTGTGGAAAATCAACAAATGCCACCACTTCAACTCCATTCACCTTTTTGCAATTGATGAAGTAGAGATTTCCATCTCTAAGGCCTTTGGCAACATGTTGGCCATCCAATGTCTTGACAAAACATCCATTCATGTCAAATTGAATCTTACAACCATGTGATACAAGTTTGCTCACCGAAAGGAGGTTCTTCTTCATTTTTGGCACATGTAGGACTTCTTTCAATCTAATCCTCTTCATTTGGTCCTTTACAACAATCTCTACTACAATGGAGCCAATTCCAATAGCTTGTACCATGCCATTGTCTCCCAACCACACTTTTGTTGCTGGAATTTCTTCATAAGTGTCAAATGAACACTTATATGGTGTCATGTGCTTAGTAGTACCTGAATCTATAATCCACTTTGATATGGCAGCTATGGAGGCTCCTTCTTTTGCCATGAAAGCATACTCATCTCCACCAAAACTATCACTAGCATTGTTTGCATTCTCCCTATCTCCTTTCTTGGCCTTGTAGCAATTTCTAGCAAAATGACCTGATTTTCTACAAATATAGTAATTCCTCATATTGCTTTTTAAATTATCACGTTGGTAAAAATAGCTATCTTTGCCTTGTCTTGAAAATAGAGCCAAATCATTACTTGTAAGCTCCTTTTCTTTTCTCTTGGTCACTTCATGGGCAAGTCTTGACGTGACATAGTTCATGGTAAGCTCCTTCATGTTGATAGACTCCAATGCCACAATGAGGTAGTTGTAGGATTCGGGAAGGCTCATGAGCAATGTCAATACAATGTCCTTATCATCAACTGGTTTGTCAACAACTGCTAGTTGATTAGCAAGTGCTTTTACCTTGTTAACATGAGCCATGAGGTCATCTCTTTCTTCCATCTTTACCGTCAAGAACTTCCTTCTTGTCCAAAGGATGTTGGCAAGGTTTCTACTCTCATAGATGTTGCAAATAGTCTTCCATGCTTCCGCTGGTCCATTGCAAGCTATAATATGTGAAAAGTTGGCATCATCAAGGTTTATTGCAATCATCCCAAAAGCCTTCCTTTCATGACGTTTGTACTCCTTCTTCACTTTGATATCAGCATTGTCACTTAGAGGGTCTTCACTTTCATCAACAATGTTCCAAAGGTCCAATGAAGCCAACAAAAGTTCCATTTTTTTCTTCCAATGGTAAAAGTTGTCACCCCTAAACTTCTCAATTACTCTCAAGCTTTCACCCTCACTTGAAGCCATGTCTAAGGAAGGGATGTAAGAAAGAAAATCAAGAAAAGAAGATATAGAACTCTCAAAATCAACAAGAAGGTGTTACTGCCTTAGAAACCCAGAATGCCCTCTTTGTAAGTAAACAAGTGATTTCACTCTTGTATCACTCTCAACTTCACATATAAGACTTCTCACAAGTCTTACACTCTATTTGAACCTCTTGTATAAGCTTTGCCACTCTTCAATCACCCCTTTTTTCTCACAAAATACTTCTAATCTCACAAAAAATACTTCTTGTAAAAAATAAAACAATCTATTTAAGAAGTTAAGTACATGAAACCACAAAGTTAGAACATCAATGATAAATTTCAGCAAAGAAATATAACACTAGATTTCTAAAACATCATTATATGGAATCTAACATCAACAAAGACTATAAGTGCACTTAACAATAAATAAGAGCAAAATTACATCAACAACTAGATGCATAAGAAGGATTAGAAGATAACAAACTCAAACTTCAACAATAACTATAAGATCTATTCCTTACAATAAGAAAGACTTCAAAGTACTTCAAAACTCACAAGTAAAGGTGAGTGGGCCCATAACCTATTAAGAAAACAAATACTTAGAAGACACAACACTTAGCATCAGCAAGGTTGCACACAAAGAGAGTATGGAGTAAGATGTCTCTCACTTCCAACATCCATTACTTATAGGTGGTAGTTGTTGCCCTAAAAAACAACATCCACTCTTTGACTTTTACACACATGGCCCTAGGATCCTTTTGGCATCTCACGAGTCCCAAGAATATCCTATGTCCAATACTAATTACTCTTACATCTTACACACATGCTTTTAGGATCCTTTGGCATCTCACGAACTATGAGGGTATCCTATGACACACACTAATGACTCATACTTAGTCTTTGAATATTCTCTTGTTAATACTTTATCCTTTTGACTTTGACTCTTGGTCCATGACTTCATCCTATATCCATTGGATGCCCTTACCATATACCAAGAGTCAAACCTTTGACCACTAGCAACTTACCTAAGGTAATATCTTATACAAAATAACATTTTCTACTTTTATTTTAACAAACTTAAGAAAGAAATATTGACAATCTTGATCAATTAGCTAAAAACATCATTTTTTCACCAACTCAAGAAGACCTCTACCTAACTTGAATTACATTGCTCTACCATTATTGCAAAATTAAGACTAGAAGCATAATATCACAAGACACTATTGTAACTTTTTACAAGAAAAAAAAACTTAAGAATTAAATTTAATCAACAGATTAAGCAATTAATAGCCTTTTTAATCAAAACTAGTTACATGTTAATGACTACTTAGTACCAAAATACATGAAATTCAATTAAAATAAGATTCATGATAGGTTGCAATACTATCTAACCTTGCTAGATGTCTTCTTTTTTTATTACAATAATCCTTCTGCAAGATCAAGATTAATATACTAATACTTGTATGAAGTATAACTTCCATAAATTGAGTGGCTTTCCAAAAATAATATATATATATATATATATATATATATATATAAAGAGCTATTAGCCATTCAATGTCGCTATCAGTATCTAAATATTAGAAGAACTAAAATAATATCTAATTTATAAATCACTTCAATATGCATATCATTTGAATAAGAAAACACCATTGCTAAGCTCCTACTCCTAGCTACCAACAACAAAGTTACATTAAATATTACAATTGCATTAGAAAAAAAAAAAAAAAAAAAAAAAAAACTTGAAGAAGGCACAATGTCTTGCCACCCAATCAAAGAAGGGAAGTTTGACCATGTCGCAACTTTACCACAATTGAAACAATATTGCATTAGCAGCACATAACTACCATCTAATATCAATAATACACACCTTACAGAGCTTTTGTAGTTAACAAGGAAAACTACACAAAAAAGAAAGAATTTTTTTTTTTTGATCCAAGCTGAATCTTTATTGTAGTGTTTTATTAAAATCAATAGTGATCATGATCTTTCAACTTCTTATTAATAAAATCTTATACTTATGTTTTATTATATATTGTTACAAATCATGAATTAATATCTGACAATTTTTATATATAATATCAACAAAAGTTAGATACAATTTAGATATCTATAATAGAAAAAATATTATTTTATTTATAAATCTCATCCAAGTAATGTGACATACTATTGTATCAATAACCAAATTTTATAGAAGAGTTTTTTAAGCAATTATTGAATTATTAATTAAAAAAAAATAAAAAATAAAAAATAAAAAACTTTAGACAAACTCCTCATTAGATTATGCTCCTAGATTTGTAGATATTAATATTAATCTATCTATGGTTCATAAGCTCAATTTTTTCTTTAATTAAGTATTTTTTAAGTCTTTGGTGATATTTATTTTGACTTTTTAGACCAAAATTTCTTTGCAATATTTTAGATTTAAATAAAATAAAATATATTTTTTAGTTTAATTATTTATTTTTTATTAGAAACAATACCTAATTAATAAATTAATATAGTCTATATATTAATTTCTTCTAATTTGTGAAATAATTCATCTCTTTGATTTCTAATTTGACCTCCTACATGTATGAAACTTTTAAAATATCCCTCTAAAAAGCCTTTGAAAGTAATACTACTTTAAAAAAATTAAAGATTCTATATTTCCATTGTAATTCAAGTTACAAATAGCTCAAGGATCAAAACCTAGATCTTAGGCTTGAAAGTTTTACAAACCAAAATTAAAATTTTAAGGTGATTATACTAGAATTCTTAAAGATGCATCCTTAGAATTTATTTTATATAAAAATTTCTATATCTATTTTTTTTTTTAAATGTTAAATTATCTTATATTGTTTGTTTAAATATTGCTCTCTATTTGGTAATGCCTAAATGGCTAAACTTGCAACATGTTCCAAGGCCCAAAATGACAACTAATGTACTAAGATCCTAACTCTCAATACAATCCAAATTAACAAATTACTTAAAGATTTGATTGTAATAGTTTGATAATTTATTATAGTTATACGTGTATCCAATTTCTAAATGAGAACTAAATTTTATGGTCAAAATTCTGAGATGTACGCATTAATCTTGATACTCACCAATATTGACTTCTCTTTCTGTTTTAAACTAAAGTATTGATCATACATTTTAATCCTCCCTAGTGGCAAAAGCATAAAATAGTATTTTATTGCTAGTTTTTCAATAAGAAATAGTTCAAACTATGCACATAAAATTCAGATTCAAAAACGAAGAATTAATATTCTTGAAAAATAAAATAAATAGATACATGGAAAAATGATCTTTTAATATTTTGCCAACTCTGAGGGAGTCATATTTGTTGAAGAATTGACTGCTACTGTAATATGAAGGAATGAAAACCAGTGAAACACTGTGTGAACATGGATCCGCAAACCTTCGAGTAAAATATTTTTGAATAGGCTATACTCCATCCAATCAAGAAAATAAATTTTCTGGTATTTTCTAAAAATACAGATACCTACAATGAATTGTAATAGCAACATACCATTCTGGTGAAGCTTTGAGATGTCTTGGGTCTGAACCACAATTTCAGGCTTTCAATCTTTGCAGCCACCTGAACTGTAGGTTGTAATTTACATCAGCTATCCACAGTGCTATTGCTTCCACTTGATGACAAGACATTCCCCACAGTCTCAGCAAGTTCAGCAATTTTGGTCCCCATCCAGCTCTGTGCATATTCCATACTAGAGGCCTCCTGCATGGTAAAAACAAGGTCCTTCTTCGCGTCCCCAGTAAGCCCAAGCGTGTCGGGACCATTAGTTGAGACCAAGTCCGATACCTGTACAAACCATCCTCACACCATGAATAGTATAAAAAGACAATATTTTCACCTAATACAAAGTGCAAAGATCCTGTCCTTGAGAAATCCATGGATGGAGAAAGATTCGAAGGTACTAGGTCGGAGCACAAGAAGTAACCAAAGCTTGAAACCACGAGCAGTTGATACTCCAGGAGTATCGTTCAGGTACCTGCTGAAGCCAGGGAATAATGCAATCCATAAAGCTCTGCTGTTGAAGAAATCGTTTGATATAACCCAGAAGCTGTGAGACGGTACCAGCATTGAGTTGATGCAAGACTGGGCCAGTTCGGCTCATCAAGCGTACCAATAACAGCTCATCACTGCAGCCAAGAATCTCTATGTAAGCCACATCCAGGTCGCCTGACCGAACACTCTCCATAGCTTGGCTCCACAACATCCAAAACGGTCCAGACGCCATCCTAATCGGCTTCTGATCAGCGCTAGAATCCCAACCGGCATGCTTTCCATGCGGTTTGCTTGGTGCAGAAGCACCACGAATGGCCGCTATAGCTTCATCTTTGGATGCATGCCAAACACTTCGGGCAGATGGACCTTCTCCTTGTGGGAGGACGCCTACCCTCCTATTTCCCTCCTTGCTCTCTCCATCGGCTCTGTTGCCTCTATGCAATGAACTTAATCCCAGGACATTGGGCCGACTCAAAATTTCTGCCACTGATGGGGTTTGATGACCACAGTGCACAGAAAACTCTTTTGAACGTCCATACCGAGACTCAGCCATCTTCTCTGAGGAAACTCGACTCCGCGAACATACAGGCACTAGAGTATCCTCGTTCCCCTTTCCACCCTTGGAGTTCAAGAACCCATTACCAAGGAGGTATTTGCCGAGTTGATGACTACCTTGAAATCTGGGTGATTCAGCAACCTGAGACCTCCCATCTGTAGTGACGGAACTTTGAGCTAAATCCTCCACGATCTGCTCCAGCCTAGCTACTCGTCCTTCTAAATCATGTATACTATCATGTATACGTGCCATCGAGTCCTGCTACCCAAGGTGCCAATGTAGGAACACGAACTGATGAGAATTTTGAGAATATCATGATCATCAAGCCCTACCGCTATCTCGCACACAGTTTTCACTAACCTGTCGTGCAGCTCATGCAAATCAATCACTGGACTCCAAATACGTGTTCAAAGTTAATATGTCAAGATCAATCATGAATCATAAAATAAAAATAACATAAAAATAAAAACAAGGCAAAAGGTTGAGAATTTTACCTGCAGCATTTTCATCATAGACAGATGTTGATGTTCCAAGCTATGAGAGTGGCGCTGAGTGGCTCCCGTGTCGGCGGTAGCCTTGTAACCATCATTCGTTGAAGAGACGATACAAGTTGATTCATCCTCACAAATCTGATTCCCATTCGCAAGTGGATTTCTCCATCTCTCATGATTCTCTGTCTCCGATCTATCCTGATGTACTGATGGATTGGGATGTTCGTAACAGTTACCTGCAATTTATCATACCAGTCAATCAAGGCACCAGAAGTAGCAGAAGCAACAATCAACATTGTCGAAGTACAACATCTCCTGCTGCCTGGTAACCATGCGACTGTTGGCAGATGACGCTGTTCTCAAAAACGGCCTTATTCAGGAGCAGTTTTTCTCAGAGAGCAGAGCTTTTGAACAAACAAAGAATTCATGCTCTTGTATCAATGATGGATCAATACAAAGGAGATGCAGGTGAGAAATGCTGAAAAACAAATCCTCAGTTGGAAATTCACCATTTTCTGTTAGCGGATTGAGTTCCCTGCCTTCTTCCTGGTCAAAATTTTGATCCACACCATTACCCTCCTCAGGGGTGAACCAACCATCTGCACCATATGCACTAGTAGGTGCAGTCTCCGCGCAATTATCGTAATAAACGAGCTGCTCATTGCTTGCAGCTCCACCTCTTGGACTCACTACCTGAGGTAAGTCACGTGGAAAAGCAACATGATTTGAGTCGATCGAATCTTTCGCATTATCCAACTTCCGCGAAAAAACAGGATTGGGTTTCTTATCGCCTAAAAGTGGCGTTCTTTTCTTCACAGCAACTGCTCGTTTGTCGCAGACGGATCTAGGTCTTCCGATTATATCAGATGATGAAGAATTTACTGAGCCCCGTAAACTGTTTTTGCGATCTGAATTAGGAGGTGTAGCACCTCCTTCGAAAATACTCGTTGAAGAGGCTGAATCATGGCTTCCAGCTGGTGTGTTACCTGCAACAGTGCAGCACAGACTATCAGTGAGTGGAGAACTTAGATGAAATTCCTGTGATTATCATTCATGCTGACAATTCTTTTGGAGCTCCTTGTTTACTACCCTTATCCACGGCAATGATGATCTTTTTCAGCACTCTTGACAAATTTCAACTATTGAACAGCATCTGAAAATTGGAACAAACTTGGTAGTTTATTTGGGTCATTGACAGATTTCCAAAGCTGCAATGCTTCAATAACACTGTCTCGAACAGGCTTGACCTGAAACACACAAATAACGGCTACCATCACATCGATATACTTAAAAAGTGATCTTATTGAATGAAAAAAATAGTCTCAGCAACAAAGGAAGCCTACAATCTAAACCATAGTGCCACTGGTGTAATACTGTCAGAAAGTCAGATCAGCCAACCTGAACTTAAATTTCCCTTTCTTTACATTAAACCCATGAACTTAAACAGGATCATTAAAGCGGCACTTTCAATGAAGATATACAACGAACACAGTAGGAGACACATACACCTCTGAAAATTCTATTCAATCCAAGAGAAGAGTGACATTCACCTTATCAAACCGGCTATTCTCTAAAGCAGCGAGCACACTTCCCCTGTAGGATCCCAATGAGCCTCCCGCTGCCGTGGCCATGCTAGAGAGTGCATCAGCTGCTGCTTTCCGCACCATCCACTCACTACTATCAAGTTCGTCTTGGACGGAGCCAAGCAACAGGGGTAGTTGAGATATGGAAACCACTCCAGGAACCTACATCATTCCCAACATCAAAAACTGGGAAAGGAGATAACAAGAATGTTGGATAGTACCAGTAAATGCAACGTTATATTGGAGTTCATATGTGGCAAATCAAGTCGGTGAGAATGGGACAAGACAGATGAGGTTTAACCAACTTGCAAAGTCCTGAGGTGTTAACTTGATTTGGACCTAATTCGCCAAATATTGAAAACTGGAAAGACGCAAAACATGAAGCTGGCAGTTAGCACCGTTTAAGTTAATCTGCAACTTTTGCCGTTTTTCAAAAATCATCCGTTCGATTAGTCCCTGAAATCTGACCAACAGTTACCAAGCCAGTACCCTTTATGCATGTGAATACACAATTCCGATGATGGAATGAAAATGACTTCTTGAAAAAACGAGTGAGCCTACAAATGGCGCGCGTTTGACCAGAAGGTGGAATTCAAATAACCGAAGCGGAAAACACGACAAAATATGAACACAACATACTGAAACGCCACAAATACTATCCAAGACGTGTTACAATTCATGGGTGGTGAATAGATTGGAGAAGAATATGAGTGACAAATGAAAGGTTGATTACCTGGAAGATGGCTCCCACAGCGTTGAGAAGAGGCGCCTTGGCCAGAAAGTTAGGGCTACCAAGCATTTTCAAAATTCGAGGACTAAGACGATGCAGAGTGTGAAGGTCCTGATCCCTGGTATTTTCAATGACGCGCGCCAGACACATGGAAGCTCCAGTCTGCAAGGTCTTGTGCTGCTCCGCCAAAGCCTCCAACAAAGGTTTCATGAATACATTAATGGTAAAGCCACCATCACTTCCTCCAATTTGTGAAGCCAAAATTCCGATGGTATCAACGCAGGCATCACGAATATTGGAATCTGGATCCTTCAACCTCTTCACAATATTTCCCACCATCTTCGGCAGGTGGCAGGCCATTAAGTCTCCATGGAGGCTGGCAAGCGTCCCAACCAGCCTGATGCAGTTCCGTCTCACCAAGCTCTTCTGCTGCGCATCAGTGTCGTGTAAGCAGGCCAGAAAGAGCGAAATTCCATCCAAAGTCAAATTCTGGGCAATGCGCTCTAGCTCCTCCACCGCCAGCTGCTGCGTATCTCGATCTGATAGCTTATTTATCGTCGCCAAAATGCGACTCTTAAGCTCCAGCAACAACACGCCCTTCCCTGGGATAGGCCCTCCCCCTCTTTTCCTCCCTCTCGGCCCTCCACACATCGCCATGACACAAAACTAACCAAACGCAAAAATTCTCACCTCCACAGCGGCAATCAAAATGTCTAATCCGACCCAACCAACATGCCTGAGCTCCATCCCCACATTGTTCCAAACTCCCACCGAATCACGCATTGTGAAACTCCTGCCCAACTCCTTCACACATATACCCCTCAAATCATCGCTAAATCATCAACATCAACATAAAATATTAAAATGAAAACCTTTTGGGACCGCTGAACCCCCTCATCAACTACCAACAAAGAAACGACAGCGAACGACATCATAGCAGCAAAAACAAGAAGGCCTACAACATCATGAAATCATTAACGCCAATTAATGAGGCCCCACAGCAATCACAAAATGACGAAGAGATTGAACAGTTTCACGCTTGAAGATGCCTCGAAGAATATGATGCACCGCCATGGTAATCAAAATATCCCAAAAGTTCGAAAAACTCAGTGTCCTCACTGGTACTTCATACACAAAAAGGCACTGCGGTCCAGGGTGATAAATGAGCGTGTCCGAAGCTGTGTCAGATGCACTGCCATTTTGTTTGGAATCGGCGTGGTCGTGAAAAATATTCCTCCTGAGTCTCGTCGATTAATCTCCCAGCTGGATTATTGATGATCCATTCTCAGATTCGACCTCACTCATTGCACCTTCATCATCGTCTTGCTCCTCCGAACCTTCTGGGGGGCGTTGTGGGGGCCGTCTTTGTCACGGAAAGAGGTAAAAAGAAAATCCTACTTTTGTCTCTGTATTGTCATTTACAACGTCAAATGAATCGAGTTGAAAGCGTCAAGGCTTCTTACAGAGGTCCCACTGGTTTCATGCTGTACGTGGTGGGTTCAAGAAACACTCGAAACCCATTGAGTGGTTGTGTGCTAATTCAGTTCGTCGGGTTTCTCGACAACTCCCTTGTCAGCTCACGGGTATATAGGAAGGGATCGTGTGAAGCGTTGAAGGATGTTGTGACGGTGGACAGCGCCAAGCTGTGTTATTAGCGGGTAGTCCTGTGCCTGGTTAACCTCCGTAAAGTAACTCGAATGTAGAATTGTAGGTTCTGAAACTCAAGAAAACGTGTAATAGATAACGCAAATATTGATTGTTGAGAAGAGATATATATAAAGCGCATGTTTATGTCTCATCTTCGCAGCTCATTGAAAAGCGTAATTCATGCACGTCATGACAAGAAGGTGGACATGCTGTCTTCAGGTTTTGAGTAGATCATCAAAAAGACTATTCAGTGAGATCCATCCTATCCAATTGATGAAGCTGATGTACATGGCGACAACCATAAACGACTCAATTAATGATAGTGAGTTGTGCCCAAATCACATGGAGTTCCGCATTGCTCACTGCGTCCAGAAAATCTTCTAACTGCTTTACAAGATTCAGCGAAGTGAAGACAGAAAATCAAGGGAATCGCTTTCCTATGGCGGCGCTGGGTCTGTTCCAAGCTATCCTAGTTGAACCAATCTCTTTGAATCGGTAACTACACTCGACTCGATGGATGAAAATTATTTGACAAAGAATCCTGCCGCCGCAGAGGAATTTCTTCACTTTCTGGATCCTCTGGACGCTTACTATTGGCTCCTCCGCCCATAGATAGGCGATGCGACATATTCGGTCCTGGGCCCCAATTCGTACCTGTGTCATTCCAAACCCCACATATAATAAGCCCCAGTCAACAAATGTGCTTCACGGACCATCATAACAATGGAAATCAACCAGACTCAACTCACTGCAAGCGTCCATTGCCACACCTCTACAGTTCGGCAACCACAAACTAGGTGCAAAATTGTTCATGGTATACTCACTTAATGCAGCCGTTGCGTCCCCCATATCCTTGGTTGCATGGAGTAAAAACGTGCCAGCCAAAATGGTCACAAACCCACATAGCTCTGTTATGATTTGAGGTGTACTTTGATTGTGCCAATCCTGCATCAATTACCGCCTACTTGTCAGCGATTGGTTCACCCGCTAATTTAATCCCGATACGGACGCAACCATGAAAAGCCACTGCTCCAAAAAGATACAAAAATTTCTTTACCGACAGATACTTGCAAACTGGCAATACAGAGAACTGTGGCATACTAGAGGTTGTGCCAATACAAACCTTGAACATGATAGAACTAGCCAGAATGGTCAACGAGGTAAACATGACGTAATATATAGGAGAAACAATTGCTGTATTAAAGGTGTCGAGGGCCTGCACAGATGAGCATCCACATTAAAATCTTCATACACTGAACAGCATCGTAGAAGATGATAGAAATGATGTTCCTAGAAAACTAGCTAAAGCCCAGTCAAGAACCTCATGCTACTGCTTGTGCTGCACTAATAAGTGCAAATTGATTCAAACCACGTCAAAATTGGTACCTTGTTAAGGTAGTTCATTTGGGTCAATATGCAAATAAGAACCACAATTGCAAATATCGATGTCTGGGGATAGATTAACTGATTTTGCCCTTGCAACGTCAACTTCATAGCAATGCCCAGTGCTTTCACACTCATGACCTGGTAACAACAGAGCAGTAACTCATTAAGACAAGCACCTGTATAAATATAAAATTCTTCAAGTAGAAAACTTATGCAAATTGGAAGGGTGTTCATAACATCGATCTGCAAGTTCAGTCATCTGACAATACTTCCACTAAGCAACCTCTACACTCAGCGGTCCACTGGATTTGGGAATCGTTCCATGCACGACACCGAAGACAAGCTCAAAAATCACAGAAGTAATATCACAGATTAAACTGCTGAATATAAAAGATGCAGAGCTAGACTTCAATGATCCGTGTAAATAGGAGATAAATTTGGAAGCAGACAGACTAAGAAACCTGATAAGAAAGAAAGAGTGAGGTATAAGGACAATACAGATAAGGAGCCCATCAATGAGCAGATGGCGATGTACACTAGGACATGTGTGTGCCCAAATTGAGGCACATAATGAAATATAAGTACCAGCACCAAGGCAACCACGAAAGTTGCATACATCAAAAAGGCTGCACCAAAACAATCAATACAATCCAACGAACAAAGTCCTCATCAGTTTTCTTCCTGTAACTCGTGAGCGGAAGTCAATCAGTCATATTGAGGCTCACATTGAAATACTTCAATTGTACATCACTGCATGTAATTAAACTCATAATTTATAGCTGCTTGGACGTGGTTTTGACTCACCAGGCTCAGTTGCCAGCAGCCAGACCTCTTTGACTGATTCTATGGCACGTTCTTGTGGAGCATGTAGCACAATGGTGGTGGAACCGACTATACAAAGCACGCAACCTACTATACCCAGCAAATGCAATCGCTCCTTGAGAACCACATGTGCCAGAGCCGCACTGCATACAGAGTGCCAACATCCAGAGTAAGTAAATCAGACGAATCCTTGCAAACCTAATATCGAACAAACTACCACTTTGAGAGTTCGAAGAAATACCTGACTATGATGCTCAGCGCGCCAAGGGGAGTAACCAAGACCGCTGGAGCAAACGCATACGCAGTGAAGTTGGCCACTTCTCCCACAATCACTGCCACTCCACTTCCTTCAGGTTAGATACTGAGAGCTTCATCTCAATAAAATCAATCTCAACATTGCAACACTCTCAACTCATGACTGTAAGCTGAAATGTCCTTACTTGTGATCATGCCCGCCCACCATAGCGGCTCGTATAGATACGAGTAACCTCCACTTCCTATCACACATAAGTAGGACACCACGTCAGGGCACGGGGAACAGAAACAAAAAAATGAAAAAAAAAACAAAACAAAAACAAATAACAAAAAACAAAAAAAAACAAAACAAAAAAAAAAAAAAAAACAAAACAAAACAAAACAAAAAATCCCACTTCCACATTCGAGCTAAACCCAAACCCTAATTTTCCTACATGTGCAAAATCCATCCATAAATCCGCAGCTCCAGTCTAAACATAATTCCCAAGGCCACAGCATTAGCCTAAAAACCCTTCCACAAAAGTAACCAAACAAACAAACACGCAAAGACAAGCGCAAACAACAGCGAGCAGCAACTCACCTGCCCTCACTCCCGAAGCCCCGGCACGCTTCAAGCCCTTCTTCTTGATGATGAAGCTAGCCCCAATGAAGAGACTCGAACTAACGGCCAGGGCCAACCCTCTCTGATTGTCGGATGACATGGGAAACCGTTATTCTCACACTGCCCCACACCTTCTCGTTCACCACCACGCCCGCGTCAACTCCGCTGCCTTCTGTTACGCCAGCAATTGCCGCAATCCCCATCTGCATCCCCTTCCTTCTCTCATACCTGCCCCGTCTCTTCGCCCTCATCCACCCCGCAATTCCCACGACACCGACACACGCAAACCCTACCACACTCTCATCTGCCCTTTGACCTGCATCGCTCTCTCTCTCTCTCTCTCTCTCGCTCCCTCGCGCAATCCCTCCCCAACCTCAATCAACAGCCCCCCACCTCATCAATGCGCCCGGTGACTTCGACTCCGAGACTCCGCCCAATAACGGATCCAGCAGGTCAACGACGGTAGCAAAGGAATGCCGACAAAGCAGGGACGAGGGTGACGATAGTCGCGATGGACGCGGAGACTGTGGCGATGGCGTGCATTCCTGCAGAAGGGGGATCCGAAAATAGTAACACCACGAGCACCAGCTGCCCCCAAGCTCTGACTCCCCCCCCCCCCCCCCACCCTGGTGGCCCTACCCTCTCCTTCACCACTTGAACTCACTAGTGACTGCATGCCTAACTGAGTGAGTGAGTCTGTCTGTCTGTCTGAGGGGCCATTAGTCATGAAGGCCCCTTATTCCATCCTTCTGCACTGCACCTCAGTGGGGCTGAAATTGAATAGATATCCGTCATGGAATCAAAGCTCTCCAGCATTGTTGCGTGTTTCTCCCCCCCCCCCCGGTCAAACCTTGGGTTTTTTTCTATTTCATTGACTGCTTTTGATACCCATGTGACCAATAATAAGTGTGCGTTAGGAATTCTGTTATTATTTTAACTTCAACTTTCTCCATCACAAAACTTGCAGTTATTGAGCTTTTGAACCACTTGGGTCTCTTTCATCAAAAGAGCTGAAAATCAGAAGGGGCTTTATCAAGATTGTTTTGGGCTCTTTGCCATGAGTGTACAATTTCGATACATGTAAATGAATAAAGTGATTAAAGTCACATAAAGTATATTTATGTTCCACATTACTGAGTGATATTTAGATTACCATGTTATTTGACAATGGTTGTAAAAATTTTACAGTGCAATAAGATTAGATGTTAGTAGGTTAAATTAATATATAAAATAAATAATTACATGCTTATTAACTTTTGGTATGTAATCTTCAAGTTAAGTCTTATATATTAAATTTTTTAAAAAGAATGTGAACACATGTCATGAGTTGAAACATGCAAACATATTATATTTTAAGTAAATTTTAAATTCACTTATTCGAAAAACTATCAAATTTATTTTTCATCAAGACTTTTTAATAAAATTATGAATCTTGATATTTTGTATATACTATTTTTTTACAAAAAAAAAAACATAACCTTAAAAAAAAAAAGTCGAAGTTGTTATATATCTGAATCTAATTAGCACAAAGAACCATGAATTTTCTCTAAAAATAATATTATGAAGTAAATAACAAAGACATGTTAAAATGCAACACTTTGGCTAAATATATGGATATGTAAGTAGATGCATGGATAGATGTTCAGATGAATGGAAACTAATATAAACAAAAGTATTTTAGTTTTATATTAAAAAACTAAAACTAATAATTTATGCTGTCAGAAAAGAATAGCAAGCCATTTATGCTTAAGTTCATCATATACAAAACATTTCTTTCCAATTCAAAAGTTATTATATTTTCACTTATTTTTCAAGTAAAAATTTTGAATAAATTTTCCATTCTTTCTGTGTATTAGTTTTCCACTAAATTCTTTTACTTGAAAACTTCATGTTTTTCTATAATATTTTATGTAATGCTCCATCTCCCGATGCAATTTCCAGGAAATGTTCCACTGCATTTTCAGGAAAAAAATAGATAATGAAAGAATCATTCTAACCGAAGTAGAATAGAAACATCTATTCACTCAAAAAGTAAAAAAGTAAAAATAGAGGGAAATTAGTCAGTTCTTCTCAAACACTGATTTAACTATCATAGAAAGGCATCCTCACTCACGAAGAACCTACCCTGCGCTTCAGGATTCTAAACAGACCACAAGCCATCTCAGGGTTGGCAGTTTTGCATTCAATAGCCCAAGCTTAACACAAGAAATCCACTCAGCCCCCTAAACAATGCTTATGGTCTGCTCTAACTGGGTTAATAAGACCTTGTAAAGAGAAAGCCAGTCTACAAAGAGCTCCAGGGAGAGGATTCTTCCCATCATTGACGAACAAATTAGCAGCTCATACTAACTACTTCAGCCTCAAGGAGAGATCTCCTCATCTTCCGACACAAACTTGCCGCTTTGATCGTTTTTGCGATTAGGGTAGCCATTTACTTCATATGCATTCACACGACCCACACGTGTTAGTGTCGCTATGTCATATCTCTAAGGTAAAGTGGCTTAGCAATAGAGTTAAATATATGCCAAAGAGGAGTTGATTTCAACCGATGAAGAGAGCTGGACGTGGTTTTGGTACTGCGTAACTAAACACCCAAACTCCTACAAGATGTGTGTCAAGAATTGCAAGCATGTGAGAAGCTCCTGGAAATGCATATTATGGCTTCAGTAAAAGCGGATTGTGTACATAAGCCTTCTCCTATGTTGCTTTTCAAACCGAGAGACGATGTCGTCGATTTCGTCTTCCCAAGCATCTGCTTGTTCCAGCTGCACGGCACAAGAGGAAATCTTTCACTAATCGGGACTGGGACGTTCCATAAGACAAGACCTACTTGGAAAATCATGTGCTTTGAACACCCACCTTGCGTTTCATGAGCCATGTAGAGGCCGAGTCCTTACCCTTTGGCACAGGTCAAGCGCAAGTTTGCCGCCAATTGCAGCCTCGTCGTGATTGTCTTTCACGTCCATGTTGATTATTAATGCTAACTTCATCAAATTCGTCTCTCTGTTCTCAAGATCTGTAGTCCAATAGGAAAATCAAATCACAATGAGTGCCCACCTCCGAAAAAACATGGAATATTGACTGTTACCATTTGCAACCATTTTGCAGCACAGATACAAGTTCATATAAGAAGAAAAGAGTTTGAAACTCCAAACTAACCATTCATTTACTAGCACATGTTAACGTATGACTTGAGGCACATCAGATGTGTTGTAGGTGAAATGTTTTGAAAGCTGATGAAAACGGACGTACCGTCGATCACCGTGTCAAAAACTCTCTCTTCAAAGGTGAACACAACATCGAAAGTGCCGTCTGCTGCGTTGTCTTGCCACCGCTGGGGTGCCTCTTTCACGCCTAAATTGCGTTTCAACATTTGCAGTAAACCATTTCGCTTGTACCTGTTCATCACCAAAGTCAAGGCAGAACTCCAATAACAACATAGACCAATTTACACGTGGAGGAACCATTACTGAATAATTTATCTTATGCAACTTCGCGGCCTACGTAAAGTAATTAATTTGATTGACAAACCAAGGATGAAAAGAAAAAATAAATTAAAACAAAATAAAACTAAACTCCCCCAAAGGAGCCAGGCTAGCTTGCAACATAACTACCTATCCGCAACAAGTTAATTGCATGCCATTCTGAAGTCCTGTCTGAATTGTTTTCAATTCTGAAAGATTTCGATTGGTGGAAGCTGTAGAGCCCGTTTCTAAACCCTAGACAGACAGTGCGCTATGCGCAGTGAATTAAAGCGGAGGTTCAGATGATACTACTTAACTCTGAATAAATATATATATATATATATATATATATGTATACACACACACACACACACGGGCAGTATCTCTGAATACGCGCATCTTCAAACGGCACAATCAGAGTCACGACATGTTCGATTGAGCGGATTCGGCAGGCAAAATCAACCCGACAACCCCTCGGAACAACAGCCTCAACTCACCGCGCCCATTCAGCCCAAACAGAGAAAAACAAAAATCAAACGCAACAGAGGATACAATTCCGGATCTTTCTTCATCAAGTCCTCAAGCATGACCCGGTACGGCGTCCCGAACGAATACACATTCGGCTCCCTCGCCGAGGGCCCGGGCAATTTCACGTGCGACCCAGTCCCGTAGGAGCTAACATTCAGCCCCTGCCTCTGCAGCAGAGCATGCGCCTCCATGCTGCGATTCTGGTTGCTCGCGCACACCATCGCATGGCGCAGCTTCATCAACCCCCGATCACAGAAACCTCTTCACCAACCCACTAACTCCTCCTCTCCTTCCTCCTCCTCCTCCTCAACTCCTCTCCTTACTGAACAAACAACCCCACCAAAAATAGAACAATACTCAACTCTCTCAAACCTTCACCCACTGCATCACTCTCTACCCAATTTGAAACCCAACCCAAATTCTTGGTTAGCAAAGATGGCAATGGAGTTGAACGCACAACACGCTCGCGGCAAGACGCATAACGCAATGCAAGAATGAGGACACAGAAGAAGAATCAGAAGAAGAAATAAGAAGATGAGTTCTGTGTTAGAGTGGGCGAGACATCCTGTGCGACTGATGTGAGAGCCAGGCAGCCAGATAGAGGGAAATGGAATGGGGCGTGGAACTGGCAGAGACGATAAAACAAAACAAAACAAACAAAAAAAAAAAAAAAAAAAAAAAAACTCAGCTAATCAGCTTCCGATGCCAAGCGTTCAGCTTCGATTGAGTTGCAGCCACCCACGCACGCACTCCGACACAGTGCTTGGATGAGCACGCAAGCCAGCGAACAAACAAGCAAGCATGCTCAGCAAGGAGTAAGCCCTCTTTCTTATGTATCTATCCATCTATCCCACTATATCAATCAATCAACCGAGCATGCCAAAAAGAATAATCGGCCATTTAGCGGTGGTTCAGCTATTGTGTAAGAATCTCTTATGCCTATTTCTTGTCTATTTTCAACGCTTTCTTTTTCCATGACAGTGATGATGATCAATATTATCATTATTTCATGCATTTTTGGCCCAACAATTTTCAACTTTTGGCTGGATATTGTTTCTTGTATTTTTGCCAAAGTGGTTAGAAGTTCTATAATATGATTTTTAAACAATATTCATTCTAGTTTAAAATTATATTATCTTTGAATGAATATCTATTATCTTTGAATAGCACAAGAGTGTATTGATATTTTGATTGTTTGTGATTTATATCTTTGACAATTTGACAAAAATGCTAATTCACTATTTTTATTTTGTTATTGAAGTGAATAAATTATTCCACTTCATTTATTCTATTTTAAAGATTGTAGACTATCTACTTATAAACTAACAATTTTCATTTTCTAACATTGTTAAAAACAAAGTGGACTATCCTTCTTGGTAATAAATTCCATTTAATATTGAAGGTTACAAATTATTCTCTTCTAATTTAACTTGTAGATTTTTCAAGGTCAATTATTATAGAAATGGAAGTAAAAATATGGATGCTATACTTGGCAAAAATGACAATAGATTTAAAACTATTATGCATTTTTATAAGTTTGTTAATACAATTAGTATAAAAATTTCATTTATTTCCAACATCAATCATGGTGGTACAATTATCACATATATAAATGAAGTCAACAATGAGATCCGATGTTTATGCCAAAAAGTTGTATAGTTAAAAAAAAAAAAAAAAAAAAAAAACAATTAGATTAATTTTATAATTGAATCCAAAAAGTCTTACTACTACAAATATAAGAGAGACAAAGTTTAATATGTTACAAAAGTTTCATTGAATAAGATCAATATTTTGAAGGCTTCTACAACACTTCAAGCTTTATCTAAAATTGTATCCTTCCCAATACTTCAATGGATTTACTCAAGTTGAATTCATAAGATTGCTTGAAGATGAAAAAACTTTAAAAATCTTGTCAAAAAGTTCCATATTATTTAAAGTCAAAAAAACTCTAGGAAGCTTTTTGGACTTTATTAATCTTCCTAGAACTTTCTAAAATTTGCTAAAATATTTTAAAAACCTTCTAAAAACTTTTTAGAGTATAATAAAAATCTTTCTAAAATCTTTTATTAAAATATTTTAAAAATATTTTAAAACCTTATATAAAAATATTATAAAAATCTTCTAGAACCTTTTAGAACTTGATAAAATATTTTAAGAATATTTTAAAAATCTTCTTCTTGAATATATCTTAGATCACCTCTTCTTTCAACTCCTAGTTTCACAACGAGATTTGGTTTCATCTTTGTAATAGAATGATCAAAGCTCGAGCATTATCTTTAAGATTTTTTTTTGAGTTGACTATAGTGTAGATGTTTCTTTCTTTAAGAAGGTCCAGCTTCATCTTAAGGATGATCCTACAAAAGTTGTGAGAGTTGAAAAGGTTGATCTTGTAGTAGTAATAAGGAATGCTCCAACTCTAGTTCTACTTTGAAATTCATGATTTAAAGACTCTTTAAATACTTTTCAATTCAGTATATTGGAACATAAACTAGATACACTAAACTCTGAGGTTGTTGTAAGCAATACTTGTTTTCTTTGTTATATATAATATCCTAGTTGTAGCTCTATAGAGAAGTCATTCTAAAATAGGTTTAGATTTTTGAAGATAGCATCAATGAAACTCCTATACTTTTTGTAGCATATTAACTATATTTTTTGCTAGTTTCTACATACACTCATTCATATTGTAACCATACCAATGAATAAAATACTCCAACATGCCTCTCATTTGCTAAGAATCAAGGATCCTTTCTACTTCATATTCTACATAATTATCTATTTCAATGCAAGGTGGTGATGGTTGTATTCTTTTTGAAATAGTTGATTCTAAATAAGCATCTAAAAAAAAATATAAAAGAGTAGATGTACTTTCATGGATGTAGATGGTTTCTATTAATAAGCCACTAGATCAATTTACTTTTAAATATAAAATGGCTCTAATCTTTGGTAGTCTAACTTATGACAAGGTCGATTAGTCTTGATATTTTGTTAAAGAAGCCGTAGTTTATCCTCAACTTAAGAAGCATGGATTCTTTTCTAAATTCATCTAAAGAATTTTTGTAAGAATCTTTAGTTGCTTATAAAATAAATCTTCAAAGCTCTGATAATTATTTTGTAAGATCTTCAATTGCTCGGTTTTTAATCCTTTAATATATTTAATAAATCAAGCTTTGGATGATAACCATAATTGGAATAAAGTAGTGTTTGCTGAATTAAAGCATAAAAATTATTATTATAAGCAAACTTTGCCAAAGATAAATACAAGGTCTAATCATCTTATTAGTAGTTGATGGTATACTGCAAATATTACTCCAAAATTTAATTAACTCATTCTATTTGATCATTGATTTGAAGATTGAAGGCATAGAAAATTTTGATATCCACCTTTAATATTTTAAATAGAAACTCCTAAAATTTTGATATAAATTGAAGTTCTTGATAAAAAATGATGTCATCAAGTAGGCCATGATATTGATATATATATTGTCAAGAATGAGCCTTAATGTTTCTTTTCCAAAAATTGAATTTTTGGATAAGACAAAATATATCATTTTTAGAAGTCAATCCACAACAACAAAGATAACATCAAATATAGCTAATGGTAGCAAATCAATGATGAAATCCATTGATATGGAAGACTATAGTTGCTTTAAAATTGATAATGGTTGTAGAAGTCCATAAGAGTAATGTTGAAAAGTCTTGGATCTTGAATGAATGTCATACAAGAAAACAAAGGCTTTTACAGTCTTTTACATTTGAGGCCATAAAAAATCTCTAGAAATAAGCTTAAATATTTTTTTAAATCTAAAATATCTTATAGTTGGAAAATCATGAAAAGATTGAAGAACACAAAGTCATGTTGATCCTTGTGGAATATATAAATGATCTTCAAAATACAAAAGAACTTCCAAAAACTTGAACTTGTTGTTGTCAGGACATTGCTTGATATTAAAAATTAATCAATTTTTAGTTGATACTATATGAATCAATAGAAATAATCCTAAAAATAGTACAAAAATAAAATTATTCTAGCTTTAAGAGAGTAGTATATTACTAATCAAATGCTACTTTTTTGGCCTTTGGAGCAAGATATGATCTCCTTAATAAAAAGTCTAATACTCCTTGCTACTTTCTTTGTCAATATGTAATCATAAAATCAAAATGAGATAATGACATATTTCAACAAGCTTAACAGTGTTTAGAATCCAAGTTGATATAAAATACTTCAAGTTTTTGTGATTTGTATATATAACCAAAAGATGTATAGTACCTTCTAATAATTGATACCATTCATAAAAAAAACCTACAATTATAAGAAGTTTTTTTATCGTGAATCTCATAATTGATCTTTGCAGCTAAAAACTTTCTAGAATAGAATGCAACTTGGTATGACTTTCTATATTTTTCTATTTATGATAGTATAGCTCCTAATACAAAGTCAAAGGCATGAAATTCTAAAAAAAAAGTCTTTAAAAAATCTGGATGCACTAAGTTTAGAATTGTAATAAAAGCTACCTTTAAATCTTGAAAAGCCTTTTGTGCTTGAGGATCCTAGTCTAATTTATCTTTGGATATCAATTGAGTGAAAAGAGCAGCAACTTAGAAATAATTCTTCATAAATATTTGATAGAAATTAACAAATAAAAAAAAACATGTACATTATGTACTATCTTTTGAGTTGCCTACTCTATTATAGCTTAAACTTTCTTTGGGTCCATCGATAGGCTTTCATTGAATATAATATATCCAAAAAATTCCACTTTTTGATTGATGGAATGCACATTTTTTTAATTTGATATATAATCTTGAATATCAATTGTACAATCATATGGCCAATGTTTTGGCAATATATTAGTATTCTTTTTTAAAAAAACATCTTGAATTTTTTTATACTACTTTGGAATATCTACTAAAGAACTTGCTTCTTCACAAGCTGGAATTGCATAAATGAGCTGGAGCTATAGTTTTGTAGGCCTAAAAATAAAGTTACAGAAAAACAATGAGTAGGTTGAGTAGAGAGAAAGAGGGACCTTAATGTATTTGAGGTATTAGGATATCCACCTACATGGTATTTATTATAGCTTGGCTTTTGTATTTTCTTGAATAATAGTATTCCTAGTCTTAGTTGTATATTGCTTCCTTGGACAATTTCTAGATTTGTAGTTTCTTTCAACACAATACAAGCATAAACGTTATTTAAATCAATGCTTTTTTTCTTTGATATAAAATATTTGAATTATACTATATTAATTTACATATCCTTAGCTCCAAAATTTAAAAATAATATATTTGTTGAAGCAATAAAGTACAAATTTCTAATGTATTGTTTTGTCAAAATCCACAAGCGTTAATCTTGATGGTGTTGAAATAATCAATTATTATACTTTACAACTCAGTTGATAATTTCATTGAATATTTAAAGATCAAGTGATAATAATAATAGGTCTTTCACATCATCCTTTAGTTTTCAATAGAATTAGCTTAAAAAAGCTTATTCATCTCAATTGATGTCACAAATCAATTACCTAAAATTAGATGTATAAATTAATATAGACCATGATCCTTGACATAATTAGCAAATCTTTCTTATTGCCTATCGAGCCTTATCATGTTCTCCAAATGCCTCTACAAATGCTTCCAAGAAAGCTTCAAAGTTG